GTCTGTGTCCATGTGCGGGGTCCGTGTCCGTGTGCGGGGGACTGCCGGGTCTCTGTCTGTCTGTGCCCACCCGTGCGGGGTGTCTGTGCGTGTCCCTGCTCCCGGGGCTCCCGGAGCCCGAGCTGTCTGAGCCCCCGCTTGGAGCAGGGGATTTAAGCCCCCAGGCCCCTCGGACGTGGCGACTCCGCAGCCGGGAGAGCCCGAGGGCACAGCTGGGGCACGGCAGCGCCTGTGCCCTGCGGACGGGCCGGGCTCTCTGTGTCTGCCCCGGGCACCGCTGCCCTCGGTGCCAGGCCCGGCAGCTGGACCAGCAGCCGTGTGCTGCCTCTCTGGCCCACCTCTGTCCCCAGCAGCTGGGCAGGAGCCTGCTCCCCAGCAGCTTCCTCCACCTTCCTCGGCGTCTCTTTCTGAACAGCGTCAGCAGAAAGGGAATTCGGAGGAAGGGGGAGATGGTCACAGATGCCCCCGACCACCACCCTGGCCCCCATGGTTCTGCACTTCTGCAGATCATCACAGCTGTGAGGGTGTTTGTCATCACAGACCCTTAGCACATTAACATTTGGGGAAATTTCTCTTGTGATTAATAAAATAGAATTTAATATTGCAGCGCTCTTCATTCAGAGATGATGACAATGAGAATCAGAGCCAGCAGAGAAATTAAGTCAGTCTTACTAAGTTAGGAAGCATTTGACAAATCTTATGGCAGGTTCCTCCTGACTTGGTAACACAGACGCTCTGCAGTACCTGCCTAAACTGGCCACGAACCCCCCAAAAATGTGTTTATCTGTCCATTTTCAGATGCAAGAACACAAGTTTACTTGTCAAAAAACCCACATTAACTCCTAGAAGCAACACGATATAAACACCTTCACAAAATAAACATCTTAAAAATGAACTCCTGAAACGCACAAATGTAGAAGAGACAGGCTGTGGGTGGTGGGAGGACCCCAGGCTGCCCAGGGGGAGCCACCACGTCCCCCCAGCTGAGGGGGTCTGCTCTGCTCCCCGGGCACCCCAGCATGGCACAGGGGGGGCGCCAAGAGGGAGGAGGTGGGGAAAGAAGGCAGGTCCTGGCTCCCTGATGGCTGCAATTAGGAGGACGCTGGAAGAAAGGGTTGGGGACCCCCCTCCCCTTCAAGAGCCCCTTCGTGCTCTGGCCCCCTTGCTGCTCCTGTGAGTTCTCACCCCTTTGCTGGACCCTAGGCTGGCTGGTCCTGGCTGGAAAGCAGGAACTACCTATCCTTGAAAACATTAAAACTCAATAATTCCCTTCCTGCTCCACCAGTGTATCCTCTCCAGCTTCCAGGTGTCTATGGGGTGGCAGATGCCCCAGCAGGGAGGGGAGTGTGGCGATGCCAGCTCCGTTATGCCAGTCCTGGAGCTGGAACCGCTGTGGAGGGCAGCAGGAATGGCCCCTGCCTGCTGCCAGAGGGCCTCAGATCTGCCCCAGCCGTGCCCTGGCTTTGCAGAGCCAGCGTATCCAGCTATCTTCATCCTCCTTGTCTTCCTCAGCAGTGTCTCTGCCATCCCTGAGGATGCCATGGCAACGGGGCCGCAGGGATGGCTGCCGGAGAGGCTGCAGCTCTGTGCAGGGCTCTGAGCCATGGCTTTGATCTCAGCAGCGCCTGTGCAGCCTTGGGGCAGCAGGATGGGCTCCAGACATGATCGGTTTGGGACAAAACTGGGATGAGGCGGCTTTGAGGTGGCTGGGTGCCACCACAGGGTGCCCTGCCCACACGGAGCAGCCCTAGCAGGGTGTGGAGGGCTGGGCAGTGCCTGGAAGCGCTGCTGGTGATGCCAGTCCCTGTGGAATGGGTGGTACTGGTGCCCAGGATCCTCACCTGGGCAGGGGCTTCTTTGTCCTGCAGGACAGAGAGGGGCAGAGGTGACAGAACTGAGGGGGGCAGAGGTGACAGAAGTGAGAGGGGCAGAGGTGACAGAACTGTGTCACAGCAGAGGTGCTGGATGCTCTGTGGGGCCATCCTTCCTGGATGAGCAGCCAGGAGCTGTCAGCCCTTTGTTAGAGCCTGCTGAGGTTCTGGTTAGGGTCTGGCCCCGCCTGGGGAAGGGGAGCTGTTTCTGGGGCTGTAACGGGGCTGCACGGTCTCTGTGGGGTTCCCAGGACATTTGGGGGGCTGGAGCGATGCCTCGAGGGGCTGAGACTGTGGGAGCAGGGACAGGATGGCGAGGGGCTGTCGGTTCCGTGTTCTGCTCAGCCTGGAGGAGCTGCAGCCCCCGGCTGAGCAGAGCTGGGTCTGTCTTCTGGGCAAGGGTCTTGTCTCCAGCTGGAGATGGCCTTGTACCATCTCCTGGTGCCTCGGGGCGCAGGTGGGTGCCGGGGCAGCCTCGCCACGGGCCGGACCAGCCCCGTGTCCCCGGAGGCAGCCGGTGCTGGCCGGTTCTATTTTGGGTGCTTTGCCGAGGGCTGTGTGAGCTGTTCCTGCCGGCTCATCCCTGCACGGCCGCTCTTCAGCGCTCCCGGCCGCGCTCCGGGGTGAGTGCAGCCCTGGGGGACCCCGGCATTCCGGGGGGACCCCGGCATTCCAGGGGGACCCCGACTTTGCTGCTGTGCTCCTGCCACCCGGGGCACGGCCCGGGTCCCCACCCGTGGGACCCGCTGGGGCTGCCCTGGGCACTGGGGGTCCCAGCCCACCGGAGTTCGGCCCCAGCCGCGCCCCTCCTGGGCTTTCATGGAGGACAGGGTCCAGCCAAGCCCACAGCAGCTTGCTTTCCCCTCAGCTCTGAGCAGAGCTGGAGCCTGGGTCGGGTTTGTACCTGCTTTAATGGGACCCTGATTTCTCCTGCTGGAAAAACGGGTGTGCCAGAGATCAGTCAGCTAGCACCCGCGAGTCAGTGACAGCCCTGCCACCTCCTGTGGCCGTGCAGTGCCACGCTGCTGCTCCTTGTGCCCTCTGCTCCCTGGCTTTGGCCGGGCTGAGCTGGCCGTGCTGAGACCTCGCCCAGCTGGCAGCACCTCGGCCAGGCCGGGGGAGCAGCAGTGAGCGGCGTCTGTGTGAGCCTGGGCACTGCCAGGGCATGGGGTGGGCACACGTCTCTGCGGCCAGAGGGACGACCCAGGACCTGAAGTGGGTGATGCAGTGGGTGGTGATGCAGCGGGTGATGCAGTGGGTGATTCAGTGGGTGATGCAGTGGGTGATGCAGTGGGTGATGCAGCAGGTGGTGATGCAGCGGGTGATGCAGTAGGTGATGCAGTGGGTGATGCAGTGGGTGATGCAGTGGGTGATGCAGTGCTTCTGGAAGAGACTGCATCACCCAAAAGCAGCTGCATCATCACGGGGAGAGGCTCTGAGGTCTCTATAGCAACCGTGGGGTAAAAATAGAGCAGCAGCTTTAGGGAGCTTCAGGGCCTGGCAGGGATTGCTGCTGGGATGGGTGCATGGGGAACAGGGGCTGGGCAGGGAGCAGGGGCTCAGCAGGGAGCAGGGGCTCAGCAGGGAGCAGGGGCTGGGCAGGGGCTCAGCAGGGAGCAGGGGCTCCACAAGGAGCAGGGCTTGCCGTGCTGCCGAGAACTGCTGCCCTGCCAGGGCTGCTCTGGGGCCTTCGACAGCCCAGGGAAGGAGGGAGGAGGGTGCTCAGGGAGTGGGGCTCGGGCAGTGGGGCTCGGGCAGTGGGTCTCAGGCAGTGGGGCTCAGGGTGCGGGGCTCGGGCAGTGGGGCTCAGGGTGTGGGGCTCTGGCTGTGGGGCTCAGGCAGTGGGCACAGCAGCACAGAGCCCCTGGCTGCTGCTGTGGGCTCCCTGCGTGCCCCCGTCCCTGCCCGGCTCTGCTGGGGACAGGGAGAGCTGTTTGCACAGCAGGGTCTGTAGGCAGAGAGCAGCGGCTTCCCCGTGCCCTGGACGCCTGCACCCTCACTGCCATCGCCCTGACCTCGGGTCCAGGGCAGGGTCTGGGTCAGACCCGCAGCTCTGCAGCTGCCCTGGCCACCACGGGCCTCACAGGGGCCTGCTGGCCCCTCTCTGACCTGGGGACTTCCATGCCCATCTTGAGGCTTGAACAGAGTTTTAACCTTTCCTGTAAGCGGTAGGGTCTGGAGATGGGTGGGGCAGGGATCTCTCCAGACTCTGCTCCACAGCGTG